AGAACAGGTTGGTGTTTACCAGAGGGGAAGGGCGTGGGAGGAGGGCAGAAGGGGTAAAGGGACACGCGGGTACAGTGATGGACGGCAACTAGACTTTTGGTGAACACAGGCAGTCTACACAGAAGCTGAAATATAATCATGTACACCTGAAATTTACGTAATGTTATAAACCAATGTCACCTCAAGAAAAACGCAAAGACTAAACCCTGGAAAAGAACAAAATCGTATCGATTAGAATCAGTTTGGCTATTAACTTTGCTTCCTAGGAGCTTAGATAGGTCTTTTTTCTTGACCTTTTTGACTTAGTTGTTTTGATACTGTGTTTGGGTCCTCGCTTATCTTTTTGTTTTCTTTCAGTTTTATTGAGATATAATGGACAAATGACATTTTGCAAGTTTACCAGTGATGTTCTTAAACGAATTTCGTAATATGAGTAATGTCGAAAAAGGTTTGAATGGGGTATGTTTGTTTTCCCCTGATTTGATGCTTATAATTTGTCCTTTAAGCAGTGGAGTCCTTTCCCTTAGTTTGTCCTTTCAGTCACCCCACACCCTTAGATCCTGATTGCTCACTAGGTGGCTTTTTCCCTCAATAATCAACTGAAGTGAATCATCACACGTACTCGTTTCCCCTTCTGGTCTTCAACATCAAACCCCAGTTTTCCTCTCCTTCCTGAATTTCCTGTGTGTCAGTCATCCTTGAGCTCCAGTCTTGACTCCACAACCCAATTATAGTGCATTTTAAATTTGGTTTTACTAAGTCTCCTATTTGATTTTTGAATTTATAAATGCAAAGCATCCAATAAGCAATAAAAATATCCTCATGGATTTGGTTTCTTAAAAGTACTTCTCACATAATATGATTTGGATGAGACCAGGATGCAAGAAGAAGTTTGGAAAGACGTTTGTACATCATGTGAGCAAAGCCTGGAATACTCATGTGGCAACAATGAGCATGATAGAAATTCAGTGTCTTAGTAAAAAACCGTTTTTCAAACTGGTCTGCAGTTGTGCCTGTGAAAACGCACAGGGCACTACAGCGAGCTTTCGCTTCCAAAATTATGTTCCCAGATGTGCAGGGTTCGTCTCGAGGGCACGGGCCCAGAGATTTGCTTGTAGTTCATTTTCGTGGGCAGGTTTTCCTGGTCTCCTTGGGCATCAAACTCTTTTTTCGAATGATATTGTAAGATTTGCCTAACATTCCAGAAGAATAACAATTACTATTCGTGGTGAGGGAGCTCGTTTATCTTAAATTCTTATTCTCATGATTCCAAGGAGAGCTCTTGATGTATAAGGGCCCATCAGAGTTCCGCATTGGTCGGGAAAAAACTAGGCTTTTCTACCAACTCCTTGATCAGGCACTGGCCCCGTCATAGTCACAGCCGAGTTGCTCAGGAAAGCTCTCTCTAGTACCCTGGCTCGCCTGTTCTTTGTCTTGAGCTCGGGGGGCTCTGCCAAAGTTAAACAGTCTTCGTGTTTTGTCTCCCCTGGAGAGTCCCGTCCGTCTTCTCTGGGGCCCAAATAAAGTTTTGTTCCTGTCGATTATCCAGACATTTTCTCATTGTTTGACTGAGAGTGACATTCTTTACAGGTTTCTACATCCTAACCAACATGGGAAATTGAAACTTATTTTAATAGTATAAATGGAATACTTAACAAAACTGAATAAATATTGGGGTTGAAAGCAAATCACAAGACATCTCTAAGGCTTGAAATTACGGAGTATCTTCTCTCTTCACAGACATAGGAGGCTGGAAATAAAAATAAAAATTAAACTTGCTCAACACTCAAATAGTTGTGGAAAATGACAAGGGTGGGGTCACATCACTTCCCTTAATTGGTCACCAATGTTCTCTTAATGTAATGGAAGAGGCAGGAGATATGCCCCCATTTACTACAAAATTCATATCTCCTATGGGTTGACTTGCATCCCCCTGGAAGTCTTATGTTGACGTCCTGATCCCCAGGACCTCATATGTCATCGTATTTGAAAATAGGTCCTTTACTGAGGAAATCAAGTTAAATTATGTTCATTGGGGTGAGCTATATTCCAAAATAACTTGGGTACCTATAAAATAGGGAAATTTGGAAACTGAAACACGCATATAGAGAGGAAAATGTGAAGACTCAGAGAGAGATGTCCGCCATCGACAAGCCAAGGGGAGAAGCCTGGACCAGACGCTTCATTCACATCACTCTGATGGAACCAACTCAGGTGACACCTTGATTTGGACATGGAACCTCCAGAAGAGGGAGACAGTAAATATCTGTTGTTTAAGTCACCTAATCTCTGGCATTTTCTGCAGCAGACATAGAACACTAATAAAATATTCCTAAATGACCATGATTAAAAAGGTACAGCCCATCAAACAAAGAAACAAATAGCAGGCAGTGAATCACACAACCTTTCCCTCTCAGTCACCAACCTGAACATCCCAGGAAGACACTTAGTGGTTTGGCTCAGGACACCTCGCACATCCGGACGATGCTGTGGCTCAGCGGCTGCAGGTCTCTCATTGGCCGACCCCAAACAGAGTAGGGCTTGAGTCTCTCTGATGGGACACTCCCATCGTCCCCATGATGCTGAGTTGCAAGTCACGGAAGTTGGGGTTTTCGAAAGAAGAGATTATAAGCTTGGGAAGAATAGAATCAAATAAAGTTAGAAAGTTAAGAGTAGTAACTATAGTTTCTAAGGAACCTGGAGTAGCTGTTGTTTCTTGAAGTTTTCCTTTAGTAATTTCTGTACTGTGTTTGGGTCCACGCTTTAAATGAATTCCGTAACACGGGTAAGGGTGAAAAAAGCTTTCATGGGCTATGCTTGTCCTACTAATAGTATTTTCCCTAGGTCGGGGCTTATAACTTGCTATTTAAGCAGCGAAGCCTTCTCCTTCAGTTCGTTTTCAGGGAACCACACCGTTAGATTGTGATTGCTCATGAGGTGCCCGTTTTCCCGCCATCACCCACTCTTGTGAATAATCACATGAACTCACGTCCCCTTCCAATCTTCAGCATTAAACCCTATTTTTCCTGTTCACCTCACAGATTTCACGTGTGTCACCCAACTTTAACCCTCCAGTCTTCACTCCTCAGAACTATTAGGGTGCATCTTAAATGTTGTTTTACTAGTGGTCCTGTTTGCTTTCTGAATTGACAAATGCAAAACCCCCAAAGCATCATAGAAATGTCCTAATGCATTAGATTGCTTAACATGATTTTTTACATAACACCATAGGTAGGAGACCAGCTCGCAAGAATGACTTTCGGAATGCACCTCTGTGCCATATTGACAAACACTGGCATTTTGAAGCAGCACCCACTAGCATGACAGAAATTACGTGACTTAGTGAAGTGCCCTTTTTTCGAACTGGTCCAAAGTTGTTTCTCCGACAAGGCACATGGCTCTGCACAAGAGCCTTTAGCATCCAAAATTCCGTTTCACGTGTGTGCAACAATTACTAGGCACCTCAGAGAGGTTTATGCTGCACTTGATTTTGTGGTAGTCATTCTTGGCAACTTGTGCCGCAAGCTCTTTCTTCAAATCCTTTTATAGGAATTTTCCAACACTCCCGAAGGATAATGAGTAACGAACTTGGTAAGGGGCTTCTTTGTCCTCAATCCTATCTCTACTGATCGCAAGGGGGAGCTCTGGAGGTAATACTGCCCCCCTTCACGCTTGCAATGCTTAGCGAAGCTCTCTCTAGTGTTTTGACCTACCCTCAGTTTCCTTTTGAGCAACTCGACCTCTGTCCAAGGTGGAATACTCTGAGTGTGGATCTTTCCAGGGAAAGTCTTCCCTCTCTTCTGATGGGCTCAAGGAAGGTTTTGATTTCGGTAGCTTATCCAGCTTTCGTCTCCTTATGTGGCCGAGAGTGGCAACCTTTAGCGGTTTCTACATCCAAATCACAAGGGTCATCTACAACTTATTTTAAAATGTAAATGAAGCAATGAACAAACGCAGTGAGATATTGGGCTCTAAAGCAAACCATACTTAAATACAAAGAATTGAAGTCCCGAAGTGTGTTCTCTGTCCCACAAGGTCCAGGGTGTTTTATTAGATACGGATACAAGGGAAGAGCAACTAGAAAATCACCCAGCTACTCAACTTTTTTCAATATGCTTATAGGAAAAGGAAACCAATAAAAAGCCATTGGCCAAGAAGAAGATGCACAGGAAATTAAATTTATTTTGCACTATCATAAACATCAGCATTCAAACCCCTTGAGGAAGAGGAAGGCGTCATTTTAGTTCTCTTATTTCCTGACCGTACAGTTCTTAGGTTGGTAGAAGAGGCTAGAGACACATCCCACTACCAGCTCCGGATGGTATGCTTAAATCGTCATGATCAAAAACAAAAAGGAGAGCCAGCCTGACGGCCTAGTAGTTAAAGTTTGGCGCTCTTACTGCTTCGGCGGCCCGGGTTTGCTTCCAGGTGGCGGAACCACACAACCCCTCTGCCAGTTGCCATGCTGTGGCAGCAGCTCACATAGAAGAACTAGAGGACTTACAACTAGGATGTACAAGCGTGCACATCTTTGGGGCTTTGGGGAGGGGAAAAAAGAAAAGAGGAAGATTGGCAACAGATGGCAGCTCAGGGCAGAGCTTTCCCTGCAAAAAACAAAGAAACAAAAAAACCAAAAAGGAAACAATAAAAAAGAGTAAAGGAATCACATCTACTTCCTCCTCAGACTCCGTGCTTATTGCCACAGGAAGGCTGTTGGTTCAGCCCTAGTCACTCCATCACCTTCCGGGCCAATGGCTGTAGCTCACGGGCTGCCAGTCCTTCATTGGCTATGCCACTGGACAGTGGGGTTTGAGCAGCTCTCATGGTACAGTCCCATCATCCAAGAATGATTGCAAGCCATGATGGATTGTGTATTAAAATTGTTAGATTATCAAGTGGAAAAGAACAGAAAGGGATAAATCTGAATGATCTGAAACAGTAATTTCAGAAATCACGTAATCGGAAAAGTGAATTGTTTTTTGAAGTTCTTATTTAGCTATTTCTGTGCTGTTTGGGTCCTAATTTATGTAATTACGTGAATTTCTAACATGGGGCATGTAGAAAAGTGTATTAGGGATGTACTGATTCTTTTCTCATCTTTTTCACATTACGTGTTGCCCTATCAACATGAAGAACCCCGGGATAATCCCACTGTCCAATCATGGAAGAATTAGAGTGAAAACGTTTTTTCCTTTTCCTCCCCAAAGCCCCACTACATAGTTGAATGTTCTGCCTGCAAGTCCTTCTAGTTCTTCCATGTGTGCCAGAGACACAGCACGGCAACTGACAGAGGGCGTGGGGTGGTTCCCCACCCGGGAACCGAACCCGGGCCTCGAAGCGGTAAGAGCGCCGAAATTTAGCTCTTACGCTAGCCCATCAGGGCTGGCCCCAGAGAGTGGAAATGTTTTAAAAAATTATGATGGGGACAATTTTCACCTCACAAATCCCTATAAAGTTAAACCTAAAAAAAGTAACAAAAATGACGTTTAGAAAAGCTATTTAATACAATATGGTTATGGACAACGGCCCGTTCTCCCTCGAACAAATGCTACCACAGATATACTAGAGTTGATGATATTTAGTTACGGGTTTAAAAAAATGCTTTAACTATCGGCAGAACGCCACAAGACCCAACTACTAGCCCTTTTCGAGCTACAGCTCTTTTCCTGCCAAGCCAAGTGGCTCTGAAAAGAGCCTTTGGGTTACGATGCTCAGGTGCTCCTGAGGCAGCTCAGCGGCGGTTGGTGTACCTAAGGACGGCCTTGCTGGCCTCAGACACGGCGTGCTTGCCAATCTCCCCCGGCAGCAGCAGGCGCACGGCGGTCTGAATCTCTCTGGACGAGATGGTGGAGCGCTTGGTGGAGCGGGCCAGGAGCGCGGCCTCGCCGGCGATGCGCTCGAAGATGTCCTTCACGAAGGAATCCAGGACGCTCACGGCCTCCTGAGACAGGCTCAGGCCCTCGTGAACCCGCCTCAGAACCCTGGGGAAATAGGTGGCGAAACTGTCGAGGCAGCGGCGGCGGTGGCGGCGGGGCCTTGGCTGCTTCTGCTTCGGGCTCTTCGGGTCGGCTTCCGCGGGCTCCGTGGTGCCCAGGCTTTCCTCAGAGGAAGGCTCAGCGACAGGCTCAGCCATGTCACAGGCGGTGCCAGGGCAGTCTCCAAGGAAGGAGAACGGCGGCTCCTCAGGGACGGTGGCCCTTTTATAGAGCCGCCTCTCTGACGTCACGGGCAAGCTCCCTATCTGATTGGATAGCATGCAATCCAGGGAGCCTGCCTTAAGGTGTTAACATTTTCGTTGTGTTTTTCTTCTTGGACCAATGGCATTTTACGTGTATAATTTTTCTAAAAATATATTGCTTTTTTTAATGAAGTTGATAATTTTCTAATTGTTTCCTTTGTAAATTGATTTCTAACTTCATACTCTGTGAAGAGGGAACATATTGTGGGATCTCAATCCTTTGAAATATATTATAATTCTCTTTGAAGCCCCATATTTTATCACAATGGTTAAGAGTTTCATTTGAATCTTTATAAGAAGTTAAAACACCCCCTTTCGATTTGGATTTAAAAACCTTTAAAGGTTGCCACTCTCAGCCAGACAATGAGACAAAAGCTGGAGAAACTACAAAATCAAAACATTTGTGAGCTCAGCAAAAGACAGATAAGCGTCTCCCAGAAAAGACTCCCACGCCGAGTATTCCACATTACAGGGCACCACTTGCTCTAGAGAAAAACGGGGGCAGGTCAGGAGAGTAGAAAGAGCTTCATTGAGAATTGCAAACATGAAGGGAGCAATTTTACCCTCAGAGCTCTCTTTGATATCGATAGAGATTGGACTTAGGACAAATAAGCCTCCTCATCAGGGTTGTTACTTACTATTATTCTCGAATGTTAGAAAAACTTTACAAAGCACTTTTTTAAAAATGAGCTAGCTGCACAACACACCTAGAAAATCTACCACGAAATCAAGTGCAAGTCGATTCCTGTTTGTGGCTCCTAGAACTTGTCGTATACACCCGAACAAAATTTTGAAAGCCGAAGGTTCTCTGCAGAGCCATGTGCCTTTTCAGGAAAACAATGATGCACCGCTTACAACAAGTGCACTTCACTGAATCGCTTAATTTCCATCAGGCTAATTTTGCTGCTTCATAATCTCAGCGTTTGAAAATATCAAAAACATCTCTTTTTCCACAGTTATTCCTGCACACTGGTCTCATACATATCACGCTATGTGAGAGGTCATTGTAAGGAAAAGAATCCATTAGATACTTTGAATGCACTTTGCTTATTTCACGTTTGTAATTTCAGAAGTTAAATGGAAGCATTGGTAAAAACAACAGTAATTATTCACTTCAGCGGATGGTTGAGGAAAATCGGGAACCCAGGGAGCCAGCACCTTGCAATGGTGTGGTTTAATGTAAAGGTAAATTGAGGCAAAGGCTTCACTGCTTAAATAACAAATTATAAGCCTCAACCCAGGGAAAGTAGTGTTAATAGGATAAGCATACCCCATTCAAGCTCTTTCCACCATTACTCGCGTTAAGAAATTCATTTAAGGCGGGGGGAGGGGCAAACACAACACAGAGCTAAGTAAAGCAAAAAGTTCGAGAAACAAACCTATTCCAGGCTGCCTATAATCTGAAGGTTCTATTATAACTCACTCAGATGACCTGATTCTATCCAGTGTTAAATCCTTTGTTTTTGAAAACGCAAACCTTCATGACTTGCGCCTGGGAGGGGATGCTGGGAATGTCCAATCAGAGAGGCTCAAGTCTCACGCGGCTCTGAGTCAGCCAATGAGGGACCCGCAGCACTGAGCCACCCTCATTGGCCTGATGTGCAGTCAAACATTCCCCACCGAACCAATCGGAGTCCTCCTGGAATCTTCAGCCTTGGTGACAGACAGGGTAAAGAGTGTGATTATTTGCCTGCTGTTTGTTTCTCTGCTTGATTGGTTTTCTGCTTTTCATCAAGGTTACTTAAGATACGTCAATGTTTTAGAGCAGTTATACAAAAATGCTAGAAGTTGCGTTCTTAAACTACGTATATTTGTTTCTCACACTCCTGGAGGCTCGAAGTCCAAATCGAGACGTCAGCAGGGTTGGTTCTTCTGAGTGGTTCGAACGAAGGATCTGTTCCAGGCCTCTCTCCTTCCTTGTAGATGGGGGAAAAAAATCTCTCTCTATTTCTCCACATTTTCCTCCCTGTGTGCACGTCTCCTGCCTCTTGCCTTATATTAAAAGAACAAGGGTGACTGCTTACATGAAATAAGGTAACCCCTTCCCGGTCGTTTTCCACAGCTATTTGAATGTCGAGAAATTTATTTTAGTATTTTATGTCTAATTGCTGTTTCTCTGAAGGGAGCATATACTCTGTGATTTCCAATCCCTGGAAAATATTATGATTGCTTTCAACCTAAATATTTTAAAAGATGTTTAAAGTATTCCATTGGTACTTTTAAAATAAGTTGTCATTTTCCCTATTGTGTAAGACATAGGAACGTGTAAAGTATGTCACTCTCGGCCCAACAATAATTTAAATCTAGATAATCTACAAAAATCAAACTTTTCTTGAGCTCTTTGGGAGAGAGACGGGACTCTCCAGGAGACCCAAAAGACAAAGATTATTAAACATGGGCAAAGTCTCAGGAGCTAAAGAGAAGAATGGGCGAGGGGCAGGCCAGGAAGCTAGGGAGGCCTTCCCTGAGGAGTGCGGGCAGAAAAGGGGCGATGCCTTTTCAAGGAGGAAATACAAATGTCTGTGCTTTTTGATCCGAGGTAGAAGAGTTCTGATGGGCCATCAGACCTCCAGAGCTCTCGTTGGAATCACTGGAGGCAAGAT